ACTTCAAGTTCAGCACCTGCAACCAGTTGCAACCAGGTGGTCCTGCACTGTGTCCTTGAGCACAGGTGAAGTAACTCACTCAGTTGATAGTTAGTTGACTCAAAATGGAATTGAAACATACTGTGCTTTGAACTAATTATGTCACATTATGTTTTAAAATGTAATTGAATAAGAAAGTACTAGAAAAAAAACTTGAGGTAGTGGCATTGTTTTATTTTAATTTGCATTTGCATGTATTGATAATTATCCCTTAGTTGATCAAGACTTTTTTTTGTCAGCAGCACAGTTTTGGATGAGGGGTTATTCCATCTTATGGCACTCGCACAATGATCCAATTGAGTAATTTCTGTCACATATAATTCCTTAAGAACTACATTTTTATTTATCTGATATGGTTGAGAGACTAGTTGTTTTGCCCGAGGAGTCAGACAAAATGTTTAACATTTCAGTTCCCACAGTGTCTACTTCTGTATCATTAGATAATAAGATAAGATAAGATAGACTTTATTGATCCCACACTGGGGAAATTCGCTTGTTACAGCAGCTCCAGATGTGTAACAAAGCAGATGAGAAAAAAAAAAAACACATTAAATAACAAAATAGAAAAAATACAAGATATCAAGAAACAAATAGAATTTGGGTTGTATGCACAAACTATGTACAGTATGATTCTACAGATGTGATTTAAAGTTAAATAATAATGTTCCACAGGTTTCAAAAGGAGGTAGTGGCATATTGTAGAAATAAATAATAGATAAATAATTACACCGGACAAAAAATATATTATACAGAAATAATTTCACAGGACTATGAACAGGTCTAAGACTAAAGTGCATGTAATGTAATTACAGTGACATTGTTGAAATGAATGCTTACAGAGGTACTTTTCCTTACTGATATGTTTTGTGAGGGGTTATCTTTTCCTTTTTATAAATACATGTGGGTATTTTATGGAATTTTCTGTCTTCAAGGATATGAGCAACGTTCTGTCTATCAGGTGCAATGGTGACGCACAAGTCTCCAAGGTTACCCCGCCTCAAAAACAATAGCAAAAGCCCAAAAACTAAAAAAAAACTGTTCCCCTGGGCTGTTTTGAGAAATCTTCCTTGTGTTTTTATTGCAAGTTAGAGCAGTGACACAAGGATTGCAGTTGTGGTGAATAATCATTCCACAGCGGGTAACACATTGCACGCATTGCTCAGCTCGATAGAAAATGAAAAGACTTCAGGTTACTTTTTGATTGGGATGTTCGCAGTGGGATGATGCACTGGTCTAGGAAAGGAAAAATTCCCCCCCCCTCCCCCCCTTTTCTTTCTTCTGTCCCCCAACAATTCTCCCCCTTCCATCACTACACCAACATCAGGTTAAAGTATTGCTTTGGTAGGGGAAAGCTTGTTGATGTAAGATGAATAGAAATCAATTTAGAACGGGAACATAACACTACAGTAATTAGCTCTAATATCCTCCACCCTGTAATTGATTTTATATCTGAAATAAACAAACACACACAGTTGGAGTCTGCCGGATGCCACATCTAGTCAAGTTCATACGTGTTTCAAGTGTGTGTGTGTGCCATCAGCCTTCCCTTAACTATAAATGGCTTATCAATTTTAATCAGACCGCATGTGGTTTTCAGACGTTCCATCTCTGCCAGGCAACACACACACACACACACACACACACACACACACACACACACACACACACACACTGCAAGCAGCCTGTGCCAGAGGTGTCAAACCAAGTCATAAATCATTGGTGGATCAGTCTTTCCAGATCCTCTGCAGAACCCATCTGTTCTCTCTCTCTCTCTCTCTCTCTCTCTCTCTCTCTCTCTCTCTCTCTCTCTCTCAATTATAATCATACAATTTTTCAATCTTTCTGTAGTTAATTGTTTCCTTTTCCATATCTGACAACTACATTTCAAGCTGATTTGAAATAATAAAGATTTGATAAATATTGTAAATATAGTCTTTCAGAATAAAATAAATGTATGTATACTGAGATTAAATCACATACAATGTTGATGTCTCTTTAAAATAGTTTGAGCATGATTGCAAATATAGTTTAGAAGTTCTGAAGTATACATATCAGATGAGATATATAAAAGTTTACTTACTTTCACTTCAATTTACTTTCACGTATACCAGTACAATTTGTTCTGCTTACATTTAGCAACAGTGATCATTATCCCCACAAAACCCACCATTCTCCCTGTCTTCCCCTTTCTCTTCCTGGCCAAAAAAAAGCATAAGCCATCAGGTTGGTAATAAAAGACAGGTGCACTTTTATTCCTTTTGAAACCTCTCTCATCTCTCCACAGTTGGAAAACAGAGGTGTACTCTCTCTTCATCGTATAACACTCCACTATCAGGGGGCTGGACACCAGACCTACATCAAATAAAGATTTTCTAGATCATCTCAAAGGGCCGAGAGAATTTGCTTCTGTCTACCCGGATAGACCAGATGGGCATAAAGAGTTTCCACTGGAACGTTTCTGTTAGCACCATGTACCAATTATCAAGCAACAATTGAATGCTTGATTGGGCATACAGAAATATAAAACATTTCATAATTAAATAATTTATATCGCTGTATGCAGCATTTGTAGAGTGTGGGTTTATCTTCTCTCACGTACATTGCAAACGTTAGCACGCCACAGCAACTACTCTATCATAGCATTACTTCTGAAAGTGTATGTCATTCACTAACTGCATTATTATATGTGGTTACAGTTGCGCTAGAAAAACACCTGTTCGGGACTGGAACATCCTTTGTGTAGACACCCAGTTGCAGCTATATCAGAATTTAATAGAAGCTCTTTCCTGCTCTTTATTTGGTTTGGCGAGGTTTACGCTCCACAGCCAGACTGTTGAATTGCATTACATTTGTCAAACTCACTGATTATTTCTCATTTACAAATCCTTTTCTGTTGTGAAAGTGAAGTATGCTGTTTAAATATACAGTAAGCACTAAAGTATCTGACCTCTGTGCTGCTTGTCCAGGTATGTTTTTCTGCTCTAAGCGTCCAAGTTATTCAAGGGTTAGGTTAGTAAGTCCATTTTTATTTATGACTACCTTGAAATACATGATATACTCTGCTGGAGAGGATGCTGACTTTTTGCTTGAAACATTTGGCTTTAGCTTTAGTCTTTTAGCTACATTCTTGTTTTTAAACAAATCAGCTGGAAGCACAGTCAGCCAACTTGTGTAAATTTAGCATTAGCATTAGCTTTCACTGGCTTATTGGCTAGAAATAAGAAACCTGCTTGTGTTTACTTCTGTGTGAAATTGAAAATGACTGTGAATGTAGACTGGTAAATCTGCCATTATCACGGTAAATTGCATTATGTCGTTATGTGTAGTGCTGGAAGGGAAAGCCTGTGTGTGTGTAAGGGCTTAGCAAATTGTCAGTTGAAGAGTAAAGTCACTTGTTGATATTTCTGTCTATATTTATACTTCTTTTACAGTATTGGCCTGTCATGGAAAGACTGCTAGAATGTTTGTGTGATAGCGGCTGTGTTTTCATTCAGAAATGTCCGGTATAAGCTGGTGAAATATGAAAAGTCTTAAACTTACATGTCAGACCACTTAAATAGTTGCTAAAAGTATTATATTGTTCACCAGACAATGACTATCTTCTGAATATCCCCTTACTGTACATTAGGCTTCCAGTTGCAATACAATAACAGCTCTATGTCTTTACTTTGCTTTTAAAATGGCCTTTAATCAGACTCCAGGTCATTATGAATATCTTAAAAAGCGTTATATTCAGCTCTCAGAAAGCAGATGCACCAGATACCCTTTAATTGTTTATATGAGGTCAGTTAATTTGGACTAAGTGCTTAATAAGTTCATTAAGTGGCATAAACACACTTCATGTATTGTCTCTGTGATCTGCCTGGGTCAGAGTTGGACGAGTCCAGTTTGTAGTGACGTGTTTATGTAGTCTGATGGAACATGTTGGAGGAGGTGGTACCGATGGGTGAATGATCCTCTTGTTTCTGTGATCAAAGACGGATGACACAACCCAGTGTCACTTTATTTATTTCTCTCTTTGGTTTTGTTTTTGTTCCCTCTCTTCCTTCCTGTCCTGCTCTTCCATTCCTGCAGCGCAAGATGACAGGATACACATGTGTGCGTTTTTGTTACCTATTGGGGACCTGTTGTGGTATTAACACCTTGTCGGGACCAGTAGTCACCACGGAAACCAAAGACCGGTTCTAATGCGGCCAAAACCTCATTTCTGAGGTCCTTGTTCTGGTTAGGGGTGAGGTGTGAATTAAGGTTAGGATAAGGTTTGAGGTTGGATTAGAGTGTCCATAATGAATAAAGTGAATGGAATGTCCTAACAAGGATAGTTGAACAAGCTTTTGTGTGCGTGTCTGCAATGTGTTTCTCAAAGTGAATAAGAGAATATACTGTGTCTGTGTGAATTTGTGTGTCTTTCTATGTCTGTTTATATAAAGTATGCCCATTCCTGTGCGTGATTGCGTGTGTGTGTGTGTGTGTGTGTGTGTGTGTGTGTGTGTGTGTGTGTGTGTGTGTGTGTGTGTGTGTGTGTGTGTGTGTGGTCTGACTGTGTGTCGTTTGCCCCCTTGCCTTGGCACTGCCATTGATTTCTTCCCGCTGTAACTTCCTGCCTGAGCCGATTTAGTGTTTCCAGTGGCAACACTCACACTGCAACCATCACTTTAGAGCCCTCCCACCATCCCTCTTTTCCTCTTTCCAACTTTGCTCCATCCATCTGTCTATCCATCCATCCATCCATCCATCTATCCATTCAGGACTGCCAGACCACAGCCCGTCTCATTCATTAATCATCAGCAATGAGAAGGAACAAGGGAGCAGTCAGGCGAGAGAGAGGAAACAGAGAAAGGTGGCAGGAATGACAAGTGCAGGAGATTGGAGGATATAGATGAAACTTGAACCTCCAGACAATCGAAAAACTAACACTGAGATAATCCTGGTGATTAAAATTCTGTCTACTTGTTTTTCAGATCCCGTTCTCGCTGGTGCAGTTTCCACTCTGGGAGTATTTAAAGGTATGTATCAGATCTTCCCATAAATGTTTGTCTAACTGACTTAATTCCCTTTCTGTCTTTATTATCCATCTGTTTTATCCCCTCTCATTCCTCCACTCTCCACCATTCCTCAGCACCATTATTTACAGTAATTATTCTCAGTGATAAATCCGTAGTAAAGTTATAATAGTGTGCTTACGCTCTGACACATTTACAGTGGGCTCACCCTCTACATTCCCCTATATCATTGTGGCAGGCAAAAATGGGACCCGGTTTAATGGGCTGTCACGACTGCCATCAAACCAGCCTTCAATTTATCCAGTCCTGTATACCTGTCTCTTTCTATCTCTCTTCCTCTCTTTTCTGAATATGTTTCTCTCTCTCTCTCTCTCTCTCTCTCTCTCTCTCTCTCTCTCTCTCTCTCTCTCTCTCCTCGCCTTCTCTCTCTTTTCATTGTGTGGCCCTGAACACATAAAAGCCGTTTCTCTTTGAAAAGACGACATTTTGTTGAAGTGACATCATGTCTCAAGGGCAAGAGAGGCGGACAGTCAAAAATTCCATCAATGTTAGAAGCTAACGGCCGAGCTAAGATGAACAATACACTGCACAGCTGTGTGTGTGTGTGTGTGTGTGTGTGTGTGTGTGTGTGTGTGTGTGTGTGTGTGTGTGTGTGTGTGTGTGTGTGTGTTACATATATGTGTGTGTCTGTGCATTTGTGAGAGTTAGATTTTGTCTTTCACAAGTGTCTCTTTGTCCCTCTGTCAAAAGCACTCTCTCTCTCTCCAGGCCATCTGGACACGTCCGTTGGCGGAGAGTTGAGCTGCTGGAATCTGCACCTCTCCTCTCCTCTCCACTTTCTCCTTGTCCTCTTCTCCATCCAATGGCTCCCTACACCCAGTCCTCCCAGATGTAGCCTCCATATTAACATGGTGCTCTGAATAGCTAATGAGGCGTTTCCTCAGTTACAATGGCAGAGACTAGCTGACTAGTCATGGAAGGAGAAGAAAAAGCAACTACTTGCAACAGGTTTTTTTTTAACTGCCATTCCTTTAGAGTGACCACCAAGATGTTCAGAGGCTTTCATAAACAGTAATAACATGATTTAGTTCGAAAGAAAGGCCAGAGTGAAGGAATTTGAGAGAGTGAATGTGTGTGGCATGATCTCCCATCTGCTTTGTGGGATAGTAATGTGCTGCGTTATAGCCTTTTTCTTTTTGCTTCACACCGAGCCAGCACAGCTGTCAGTGAGAGAATCAGAGAGAGGAAAAGGGAGAAAACCAACCGACTGCTATAAGCCTGTTGGAGTTTAGTAAGAAGAGTGCATTAAGTTCAACTGGGATATCACACAAAGGCATATTCCAAGCAGGAAAAGTCAGGACATTTTCTAAACTCAAGTCACAGGATCTGAAGGAATTTTACATATTGGTCACTGCATAGAGATTTAACGACTTTTTGTCACACCAGACATGTGAATAATTCTCACTGTTCTTCTTCACACATTAATTTCACAATACTGTGGTTTTCACTCAGTTGTTTTTCCCAACATCAACTGTAGAATAGGGCTCACAGTTTACCCCATCTGTTCTGACCTCAAAAACAACATTAGCAAAACAGGAGGGTGTAACACTTTTTAGGTTATGATTGAACACCAAGAAAGAGCCACAAAAACTTCAAGGAATTTTGCGTCACAGGCATGCTGGGAACTTACATTGAAACCAATGAGACGCACTTACAGATGCCGTCTCCCCACACATACATGCACACAAAAATACAAACACATACCTGTCGTCCCGACACACTCACGTGCACACGGAGCCACCACCTCTTTCCTGTGGGAAGTCGTCCAGGTGCAAACTCTGATCCTGACACAAGGGTTCACAGGTCAAAAAGTTTGTTTTCCCAGGTTTACCCCTCATGATTTATTCATGAAAAGAAGAAGGAAGGGATGGAGAGACTGAGATGGGGAGAGAGACAGAGGAATCCCCCAGCATGAGGCCTTTGATGTGGAAAACAAAATCTCCTTTTTAATCTGCCCTATAATGGAGTACACATGACACATCCTGAGCCAGTATGCACTATTTGCCAGTTCTTCTCCTTTCTGTCTTTTTCTGAGTGTTTACTTGTTTGTGTTTGCATGTGTTGTGCACGCACACATGGTTTGTGTGATGTCCACATATGTCTTCGATAGGAGGAGAATGAGATAACGTGCAACAGATTAAACTCGCAGGGGGGTGGACAAAGAAAATATTAGTAATCGCTCCATGCTGTTGCTCAATTGCTCTCCCTGAGAAGTAATCATACCTTGCAGCGCCCGAGGCAGCCCAGCTGTCCACATGCATTTTATACAAAGACTAACCTCGCGTAGTCAGTCTCCTCATCGCTCTGCTGAAACGAGTCGGGGGAGAAAAAGAGACGAAGAGTTCATTCTCATAACAAAAACATCAGGTGGTTTCACTCAGTAGCCAGTTGCATCTGGGCAAGCAGTCCTGTGATGTGAAGGTTTTCAGACACAGAGAGTGCTTGTAAAATGCACTGGACTAATTCATTTTACTTTACAACTTAATTCATTAGCTATATACAATAATTAGCTTTGTTTTCAAGTAAACATCTTCAGTGTAGCTTTACCTGTAGAAACTGTAAAGCTGTGTAATCTCTTGTTCAATACACAAAACAGTGACTTGTCCAAACACTATAATTTTTAAGAAGTAATTTGGATGTGAGTAATTACTAACTGAATTGTCAAATTTCAGAATAAATATATATATGTTCATCAAAATAATTACATGCTACATTTTTGGCAAAAATCAATGCATCAAACATATATATTTTTTACATATATTGCCAATGAAAGCCATTACTTTATTATCAGTGTTATTTGATTGTTTTAATCCTACAAGGTTTGATTCATAAAATGATATATCTGTCAGTCCTCGAATATAGCTGTGAGATGGTTCAATCACTTTTGAGAGAATTTCACAAGCTGTGGTCTCAGTCATTTGATTGTTCACAACACAAATATAATCTTTTATTTTAGTGTAATGATAAAAACTTTTTTAGCAAGGCTTTAAAATTAGTGCATAAAATCTTTTTATTACACATTTAACATCTAGAAAGCTGCATCTAACTGCTAAATTAGTCAACATAAAGACATTGACCAACAGCACTTTTGTTCTTCTCACCTCACACTGAAATGCACATTTCTAAACCTAAAAGAAAATTTTACTTGGAGCACTAAACATGCAAAACAGGATGCTACTGTATGTACATGTTTTGTAGCAATTCAAATCTTTTCTTTTTTTGTCTGTAGGAACAGAACCTCACCAATCGCAACAATGTCATTTGAGTTTGAGATATTCATATGACCGTACTAATTTGTATATTGTGGTGCTTCAGTAGATAAATATAAACAGATACAATATTGCTAACGTATTGTACTTTAATATGATGGCATCATAGACAAAATGTGTAAAGCTGTAGCCTGATAGAGTGGGAGCGCTGCAGAATATCCTCTTGCTTCCCTCTTGTCCCGTCCCAGTTCTTGGGAAACAAGTAGCATGACATCACTGGGGAGAAAAAGCAACACAAAAATAGCCGGACAGCCCGGTTCCCAGCCGTGGGCCTGAACCCCAGACCGGACCAAGGTTCACAATGTGTTTTCAATGTGTCTGATATCTCCACTAACTACAATCTCCTCTCTCTTTGTCTCCCCTCCTTCTTTTTCCCTTTTTCTCGCTCTTTCATCATCCCCCTCTATCGACAACCCCCTCTTTCTCTCTCTCCACATTTCTCTCTCTTTCTCCCAGACTCTGTGGTCGTTGAGGCAAGGTCACACGCTCTACTCTTGGCAAGCTGCAGTGTGCGGAGCTTTTGCAGGTGCAGGGGATTATTTGCTGCTTTGGGAAAGAGGCGGAGAGGGAGAAGGGGAGGGAGAGAGAGGGGGTGGACGAAGGAAGGGGAGGGATGGATGGCTAGAATCGATGGATAGATGAATGGATGGATGGATGGATGGATGGTTGAATAGATGGCTAGGAGGGCAGGACAAGTTTTACCCAAAGCCACATTCTTATAAGATTCCACAAAGGTGAGCTCAGCTGGCAAATCACATCCTCACCTGGACAGCAGATCAGAGAAGAAAAGAAAAAAGTAGAGTATGGATGAAAGGAAATGAGAACAGGCTATTACAGCCTTTTTTTCAAACATTGCTTTTCTATAGTGTTAAATTAGCAATCCTCAATACAGCGGATTCTGCATTGTTGTCGTGTAAAGGTCTTTTTATCAGACTTCTCAAGCCCTTCAGCTAGTTGAAATCATACCATTGCAGACTTCTATGGTTCTAGTCTGGATGAGTATCAGGGGAGAGACACACCACCAAGGCAGGAGAGAGCAGGGATGAGAGGGGGCCAGTTCCTGGGTATGGGCCCCTGCAGCTGTGCGACCTCCTGAGCACTGGGGCCTGAAGTGGTTTAAAAGAGAGGGAGAGAGAGATAGAGAGAGGCACAGGAAAGGAGTGAAAGAGGGGAAGGGGAGTGGACTGAAAACAAGAAAAATAGGGGAAAGGAAAGCATCTAGAGAGAATGAAATCAGACTATAAACAACTACTAGAGATAAATACTAGATAGAGGCTAGACGCTTGAGTCAAAGAGATTCAGTGTTTGTCAGTTTAAAAGTTTGCTGAATTTGAGCATAGTTCTGTCCATTAACACTATTACTCATAACTCTTTTCTATACAAATATTAGCAGTATTTAAGACTGAAAAAGGTTCTTTTTTTTATCCTGTATGGTCCCAATAATTTTTCTGGAATCAGTCTGTAAGATTAGACAAGCTAACTTTCAGGACATCTATTACGTAAGTTTAATCATAAACGTAATTCAGTCCTTCAATGCCCCGATCATCCACTCCATACAGAGTTTGACCTACTTTATCTGAAGTTCTTATGCAACTTTAGATGCGTAAAAACAAAAAAAGGCTACTCCCAGTAAAAATGTGAATTTCTAGAAATCTTTTCTTCTTCTTTATTATGCATGGAACTGTCCTGAGGCTTTTTTGGATTTTCTACATACTTTGACATAATATGCCTGATTAGAGGTCTTCTGAGAACAGTGGAGGTGTGTACAGACTGAGCCTAATCACAGAATTAGTAAAAACATCTGTATGGATGTGCAGCACATGTTCAATCAAATCTGACCTCTTTTTAGCCGGGTTTATTGTATATTTTGCACTAACTATGTTTTCTAACTTATTTTATGTGAAACTGGATGCTTGTTTGTGCTTCATGATCTTCTTGCCTTCTAGAAATTAAGTTTTCCTGCATAAAGACTGGCAAGGGAAGGCACATTCAAATAAAAATATAAATCCAGTTGCATATAGCATGTACCTCCTGTGTCACATCATCTATCTTTCCACTCAGTCTTCACCTTTCTCGCGATGAAAAAGCAGAACCACAATCAAAATACATATTTCAGTATAACAGTCCCGCAGACCGGGCTGTGTTGGACGGTTGCAGCTTTCAGTCCATAACTCTTGCAACGCTACAACGAGCCAGACAGGACAGGAAGATTGAGGTTAGCTGCTCCAGGGGTTATGGAGAGATGGAGATGGAGGTGAAGGAGAGAAGAGGGGATGAGGAAACAGCACCCCAAGGAGCTGAGACGTGGCCCTGCGCCACCCCACCTGGACTCAGTCCACGCTGGGAAGAAAAGGGAAGAAGAGGGAAAGAAATCAGAATAGAATAAGAGAAAGACTGGACTAGAAGACATGCAGATCCAAATACATAAAATACTCACATAGTTTGAACCTTTTGTAAAGCTAGTGAAGATTCAACTCTTTATGAAAGTCTAATTGTAAATACATAAGGATATGACAGAATTGTTAATAGGGATATTTAGATTGAAGAACATGATAGAGGGCAGTCTGAGCCAAAAGGAGCAGAGAAGGGAAAATGGGCAATTGGGTAGTAAGGGGGCAGGACTATGTTGGAGCGTGTGTCCAGGGTAGGAATCAAGTTCACATCCCTCTGCGACCAAGCTGCTGTCCAAGAGGGATCCTCAAGTTTCAGTCACTTCCCCTTACATCGCGCTTCACACTCTCTCTTTCACTCATACATAATCTGCTTGACAGTGGAAATGCTCACACAGGCGCGTTTAATCACCAAATATCTCCACTCGCACCCCGCGTTGACTTACGACGGACTTGACCCTGTTTGAACCACCTTGAAAAAAACTGCCCAGCCCGAGACAAGATTACATCACCGTCTGATTTGGGTCTAACCTTCATCACATCACATGGTTCTACCAGCCAAATTTAGATCCTCCAATTCAGCGCTCCATGTGTAAGATTTATGTGGATAATGCATCCCTTTATTGCTCTCCAAGAATATTACAAAACAGGCTACAGTACGAGGGCTGTGTCTTTTTATCTTCGCTGAAGTTTTATCCAAAAAATCATTCAGATCCACTCTTATAATCAGCCAGCATTAACTAGTAAAATGTAACGGTGTGTTACACCACACTGATCCTAATGTTTTCCTGTATCCTCATCTCACTTACAGTCACATTGCTCCTCGGTGGCCCATATGGATATGTTTACTGAGAACAGTTGCTATGTTTGTGGCAGAGTGACACACACACACACACACACACACACACACACACACACACAGAGTTTCTCACTTAGATACACACCGCGGCTCACTAGGGGACACCGCTGGATCACTCCTCCCTTCCAGCTTCCAAGTTGGAGGGACGGAGGGAAGTTGGGGTGTAACTGCTCTATAAAACTCGTAGGAGGAAGAGTGTGTGTGTGTGTGTGTGTGTGTGTGTGTGTGTGTGTGTGTGTGTGTGTGTGTGTGTGTGTGTGTGTGTGTGTGTGTGTGTGTGTGTGTGTGTGTGTGTGTGTGTGTGTGTGTGTGTGTGTGTGTGTGTGTGTGTGTGTGTGTGTGTGTATATTGTGGGATTGAATATGTGTGCATCTGAATGTATCCAAATGTGTGTTTTATTTCATGCTTGTGCATACAACTGGGTGTGTTTGTACATCTGTGCTTGAGTGTGTTGGCAAAGGGAGAGTGTGTGTGTTTGTGTGTGTAGCTCAGGAAGGTGTGGGTTGGATGAGACTGGGGGGTGGGGGGGGTGGGGGGGGACGTTGGGAATAGAAGTGTGTCTGTCTGGTTTTTGTGGTCTAACATGGAAGGTCTCGGATGGGGAATATTATCATTTTTATGAACTTAATGGAGCAGAGGGCCAAGAGCTCCACTGTTTATTGCTGAATTAATACGTTACTGTATCTGTGGTTAAGTAATTGGACTTTTTTATGGGTTTATTTTTTATATTTAAAGACTCTTCTGAGAGCAAAGAGAGGGCCTTTTATGTTTGCACTTTGCTGAATGTTTGTCTTTTGTAGGTGCGGTAGCAGCATTTGTTACCACTCCTCTTGACGTGGCGAAGACCAGGATCATGCTCGCAAAGGTATACACACTCAAACACACACATACAAGAGCGCACCACCTCCTCTGGCAGCAACTTTTAAACACTGCTGTCAGGTGATGCCTCGCAGGCAGAGAGCTGAGCGGGCCTGCAGCCTGAGGAAATTTCAACAGCGTCAGCACATGGGACGGAGCGGGCCGGGGTAGCACCGGGACAGTAGTGAGACATACACACACATTTGTCATCTGACCTGGAATATGGACAGTGTTGGGAAGACATGTTTGTGTGCATGGTTAGTGTTAGAGTGAGGACTTGCTGCTGCTCCAGAGGAATTTCCATCTCAAGGCTGCTTGTCACTGAGAGGTGAACCAGAAGGCCAGTGTCCCTCCTGTTCACTCTTCTACTCTGTCCGTCCTCTCAAACAGTCCCCCTCTTTCTCTCTCTGTCTGTGTCTCTGTAGCGCTGTCCCCTCCTCTTTCTCCCTCTCTCCACCTCCTCTTTCACTCCTGGCTCGCTCTCCACTGTATGTCTGGCTTCCCTCACTATGTCCTCTGTGAGTGTACGTAAAGGGTAGTGAGTTCAGAGTTACCCCAATCAGCCCCCCCACAATCGCGCACACACAGACACACACAGACTGTCCTTGGAGAAGACACAGTGTTCCATTCCTCACCCCCCCCGATCCTAACTAATGAGATACTGGAATTAACAAAACACTCAGACAGTCTTGATCTCTTGCGAGAAGCTGTTGGCTATAGGTGGAACAGCACGGTACAAAAGCTTCCTGTAAACATTATTTGAAATGCAGCTGCTGTAATTTACCACCAGCAAAGGGACTTGGCCTGTGCTGCCTCAACAAGTTTCAGTTATAACTTTATAAGGCCAAGTTTTTGATTCACTTAAGGCACCACAGGTAACCTGGGAAAAAACTGGAATCAGACTTAATAGCCTCTACTTTGACAGTGGTTATCAGCTGATAATACCCCAGCACTACATATTCACCAGCTATTCACCAAAATAAAAGCCAGGATGATACATTTATATACTGCTGCTGCTGCCAAACTGGAGGTTTCTCTGTTTAAAATCTAACCAGGTACAAATACTTTAAATATTAATATAGTTACATTCAAAGGTCACATCTTCATATTTCTACAGTCTAATAGTCTAAAGATATTGAGTTCACATATGACGAAGAAAATTAGCAAATCCTCACAATTGAGAACCTGGAACTAGCTGGAACTGGTCTGCAGAACCAATGTTTGGCATTTTAGCTTTAACATTTGCAATTAAATTTTTGTCAGTGTTGTGTAGGTTATGATATTAAAAAATTATATTAAAGGATATTAAAGCAGTATGTTAAATCTCAAAATGGACAAATTAAGATTTCCATTTCCACCTGTGGTGCCTAACCCTAAAAGGTAACATGTAATTTTTTTTAAATTGTGTCAGACTTAAGTTTGATTTAGTTGTACACAAAGCAGCAAAAGATGACAAGTCCAGGCAGGAGAGTGAAGTGGGGAGAGAGCAGGGCTGCTGTTGACGGGTATGGACGGTTTGGATTGGACGAAGCGGAGGAAATGTGGGTGTTGGAACTTGTCACATTAGTTTCCGTCCCACAGCAGTAGAAGGAGAAGGTTGTCTCTTTTCTACAGCGGGCAGAATGAAAGAGCGGTGTTGTATGGTAGGCAGCCTAGTGCGGGCAGACATCCAGGACACAGCTGGACGTGCAAAGCCTCTCCAGGGCAGGCACTCTTGCCACACCGCCCTGCCTGCAGCACAGGCTACATGCCTGGTACCACACGCTGCTGCTGCACGCCTCCTACGCTGTTACTATACAACACTGCTCTTCTCCTCAGGCTGGCGTGTTTCCTGCAACCACACTGCTGCCATCATGTTCACTATCCTCCTCTGGAACCAGGTGTGGCAAACACAGCAGTCGATGTCAGGCTGGTGTGGTCTAACACCTGTTCAGCGGTCATTGGTCGACATGATTTTTAAAATTATTACTACTTACACGTGATTGTAAGGAGCAAAGCAGCAAGCCATCATGTCGGAGAAACTTAGAATAAGCTGCATGAAGATATTTTTGTATGTCAGCACAAGTTACACAGGGACTGTGTGTGTGTGTGTGTGTGTGTGTGTGTGTGTATGTGTTGGACACCCTTTTCCTCCATTCCCTCCTTCCATCATTCCAAAGTGGTAAAAGGAAAAGAAAACTTGTCAGACGTGGAGAGAGTCATTTCTCAGCCACCTGTCTCCAACAGAAACACAAGGGATAGGGGTGTTTTTTTTCCCCCTCCTCACATGAATAAAAAGCGGGAATCTTCGTCTCGTTCCAGCAGATCTGGGAGTCGCAATTTTCAGCGGATGCCGCAAACTGTTTCCTACATGCTCAGTGAGCTGTAGCGTGGATTGCCGTGTGTGCACCTACACACATACTCCTGCCGCCCGCACTCCCACCTCTCCTCCTCATTTTTGTCTTTCTCTTTCTCTTCTCTCTGGGCTGCCACCACCCACCCTCACTTAACCCTGGCTGGCCCTATCCTGCAGCTCCCGTACCCCTCCACCGCTCCGCAGTGATGGATTAAAAGCTCTCTGGCCAGTTAAGCCGTATTGTGTAAATAAAAGTTGTAGACTTGACGGGTGTGGAGGAAGACGAGGAGAACTTGTTGAGTGTGTTTTTGGGTGGGCAAACGGCTGGGTGGGTGTTGGAAGGTGTCACCTTCGCTGACACAGCTGTCCGTGAGGAGAACTGGAGGGGGAGAGGGTGGAATGAAAGGAGGGAGGGAGGAAGCTCAGCTGAGGAAGACTAAACAGGGTGTCTGTTGGAGGAGCAGGAAGTGAAGGAGACGATCCATCAGTCTTCACACCTCTATTTTCTCTCTCTTTCCCTCTCTTTCTCTCTAGGCCGGGTCAACCACAGCCAGCGGCAACATCCCGCTGGTGCTCTATGACGTTTGGAAGAGCCGAGGCCTTACAGGGTGAGGGTGTGTCTTCATTTCAGAGAAAGTGCCATCATGTCTGTGTGTCTGTTCACACAACCCTGTTTTTTTTTTTCTTTTTCATATCCCTGGCCATTAAAAAACCTCTTATTTTACATGATTTGATTCAACTCGCCCTGATCCCTCACGTAATCATGTTTGATGATAGAGTTGCTACTCTGGGGGGGGTGCAAATTTACGGGTGCAGCTGAAAAATGAAATGCATAAAAGCTTTTCCTGCCGACTAGCGGTACCGTCCTATTGATTAAGGTGTTACGGGGGCCAAGTGGAAGGGTTTATTTGAGTGTTTTGATGTGTTTATAATGCGCAGCGGACAAAAGGCCAGGTCTAATGGGGCCGCAGAGGGCTGCCAGTACTAAAACAAACCCTCAGTTGCTGTGAATAATAGGCCTGCTTGTGTACAAGCCGCTATCATTTAGTTAGGATGCACCTCGGCTTAGTGCTCAGAGCAGATTTGGTTTGGGACTGGGCCAAACACCAGTGGGACATCTCTCTCTCACAAACACACACCACTGTGTAATTGTTTGTTTGTGTAGGCTGTAGTGCTGGAATCTAATCAGAGAGAAATTACATTTCAGCTTCGTGTTTTAATATGAGCCAAGGGTGATTCCCTACAAACTGCTTTCAAACATCAGTAATAACCCAGCCTTCAATTTTAATAAAGATCATGTTTAAGACTACTGCGCGATCTCAATGAGGTGGTAGTTGGCAGGCCCCTATGGAAAAGCCTAAACCCCTCTCTCACAGCTGGAACAGTAACCAAGTGGTAATGTACAGGGCTTTGATGCCCGTCCCCCACCTCTGCACCGCGCGGCAACCTTTCATGTTTTTCCTCTCACCTTCACTATCTCCTCAACCTGTCCTCTGAGGCCAGCTGCAAAACTCACTCATATTGTGCACCATACAACATGATGAACTCCTGAAAAATCCTTTTCTCCCTTTATATTGAGGTCACCAGAGAGGGTTGAGAAAATAAGAAAAAAGAGAGAAAAAAAAAAAAAAAAAACTAAGAGACACGAGAGAATGAAATGCAAAGACAAAGGAGAGTGTGTAGAAAGTAAAAGGGGGGCCTGTTGCTCCGCAGGGCCAAAGGCCTGGTGGTTGCGCTGGTGCATGCCTGATACAAATTGCTGGGGCTTTAAAGCTGTAATTATGGTAATAGGCCCAATTGCAGTGTAGTGAAGCTCTAAAGTGCTTCCATGTGTGTGCCATGCCCCAGAGACCCCGGGTTAGCGGAGAGCGGTGGAGCTTACACCGGCCTCCCCCAGTAACCTGCAAAACTACCAAACTGCACCAGGAAACGGGTCTAAACAAAGACTAATAAGCAACATGTCCTCCAGTCTGCGTCTGCTTTGTGCCTTATGTAAACCAAAATGGAAAAAAAAGTTCACAAATGATATGTTTCTACCGCATATACACAACAAAGCAGAGACTCTGGAAGTTTGTGGTAAACCATAATTGTCCTTTCATGGCATCAGGAGTCTTTGTTCTTCACTGTAACAAAGTAAGAAGTTGAGCAGTTTGAGCACTTTCCACCTATTCAAATTCAAATGATATGAACACACTTTAAGTAAGTGTGATTTAGGTGTAGAGTGATGTGGTATAGCAAGCAGCTATAACTGACTCTGACACAGTGAAGAGCAACTTTCTCCTGCCAATCAGGACTTTCTATTTGTGGAGGCCCAGATGATCCGCAAGTGGAGCATTTCTGCTTTACGAAGCGTTTCTGGGAAGATTAAATCCATTCATATCCTTTCGCCGTGCAAGGCAATCATTTCAGTGGATGTAGCTAAAAGATAAGGCTGGCTGTATATATTTTTTTGTTCTGAATGTATCCCAAGAAAAGATCAAAACCAGTAGTGCCTTCAGTAGTCCCTTTGCCATTACACCCCAACCTCCCCAGCTTGTAGTTTTTAGCAAATGTTACTCAAACAGGAGTACATTTGATGAGGACTATTTTCAGCCATGGATCTGGTGTGCATCCAGCAGGATGTGGGAATGAGTCAAAACATATCACCCACTGCAACTGTGTGGCTCACTGATGTGTTGGAGCTCTGCGGCATAGGGATAACTACATAAGGCTTTCGCTACACAGACTTTTCAGTAGGATCAACTCATGGGTTGTGTTTGTCTGTTGGTGCGGTTTGTTGACGATGGGGAAAAATACAGAACATTACTAGACCTATCCTTTAAACAAATGGTATGCAAATGATGAGGGATCCATTGTTTGTCTCAGAAATTCCAGTAGACCCACTGAATGTATAAAATATCAAGCTGATGAGATAAGACCCACACAGGTTAGAACTGGCCTCTTTCTTTTGAATCCTTTCAATGAAAGAGTCACATAACTAATAACGGCTATCTCTGATAACCCCAGCATTGTTCCTGTTCCTACACAAGCCTGAAATTAACTCCCACATACGTACATACATAAGATTTTACAAAGATTTTTCTCAACTGCAGCCAAGACATTCTCTCTGAGTTCACCGCTGTGTTCTTCTGCTCTCCTGTCATGCCTTACAACTATATTTAGTCCAATTCCTCACAAGAGGCAATTGGCCGACAATAGAGGGATGACGGCTCTCAGTGGCTGGCCAGGCTGTGATGTCAGAGTGAGGTCAGGGCACCCGGGGGAACCTAGGGGAATATCTCGAGCTCCGGCTGTGCTCTGACATCTCTGAGTCCACAGGTGGGCCTGATTCCAGACAGGAAATGTAACGGTAGTCGAGAGCTGAGACAAAACGAGAACGTTGAGTTTTAAATTTAGTTCATTCCTCCCACTGCTGGCAATCACATCCCGCTCCATCTTCTCATGTGACGGGACTGTCAGAACAAGTTGTGTCTACTGTGTTGTTGTTTAGCGGCCCAGCTGTTTTTGTCTCTTGGCTTTCCTCTCTTCCTGTCATTGGATTGTGATTAGCTTTGGAGCACATGTCATATTGTCGTGTAAGTAATGCTAAGTACTCGCCTTGAGCGGGCCTGTGGCTTATGTTTCAGCAGATGGTGATAGAACGCCGTGTCGAGATGGAAAGAGCACACTGAAGGGCAGGACAACGACCTCTGACTAATGTCTCCACGTTTATTTGGAGCATTTACACCAGTCCGTGCTTACACAAACACACTTGGATTCTCTCTCTCTCTCTCTCTCTCTCTCTCTCTCACTCACACTCACACTCACACTCACACTCACACTCACACACACACACTCACAGGCACTCACACTCTCTTTGTGTCTCACACCACGTTCACCTAACCCGTCACTAGGCATCTTTTAAAAAACACCCGATCCGGGCCCGGGTATTCTGAAACGTGGAGTTGCGTGAATTGTTGGGATGGCTGGGAGATCTCTGACATGCTTGCCACCTTGTACAGCTTTGCAGTCGACAAAAGTGACATACAAGACAAATAACAACAATCTGTGACCCAAATCCTAAAATTCCAGTTAAAAAGCTGCACCCAAGTGTTTAGAAATAGTAGCTTAATGTAGGGCACTAAAAGTTAATAAACTACAGCGCATGCACAGATTCTTGACAGAAAAATAACTCAATGGCTGCATACTAACTTTTTTATGGGATTTTCAACCATATCTTGGCAAAGAGTTTGATCGTTGTTGTGTCAGGTGGTCTGTTTTTCAGAGCATGTTGGTTGATCTTGAAAATAGCAGTTCCATATGAAAACAAAAAATATCCTTAATTCAAGGTCGACATACTAGCTTATTTCTGTCAACTTCATACTGGATATTCAGGAGAAAAGTAAATGCATCATCACAAACAAATCATTGACTGAAGCCAAGATCAACCCAAGCCAAATCCCAAAATCCAAGCATGAATGTTATATCGTGAGTGACGCTCATTAGTCACGAGTCACACACTCAAGTGATTTAGTATTGCACTTCCAAAAAGTTGGGGGACGCGCAAATGACGAATTAGAGAACGAATGGTAAAAATGGAAGCATCAGAGGCAGAGATATCCTGCCTTTTAGTCTCTCATCTGCACCAAACTCCAGAAACCCTACATTTCCCATAGTGCAGCTCACTTTCATATATTTTTTGTTGCCTCCAAACCAAGGCTGAGATGATCCTGATGATGTCTTAAAAAAAAAAAAAGCCCAACAGCCAAACTTGATTACTCTTCGGGTCTTTTTGGAAGTGGTTTTATCTCATGGCGACAATAGGAAAGAGCTGGCAGAGATCTGACGTAGTGTGTGTCAGCTTTTCTGTCACACAGTACCAACCTTTTGTGAACCTTTTTCACGGAAGACAGATTAACATTTCAGAGTAAAAAAAGAAAACCACAGGTATACATGATAAAAAACAATGATGGCTGAATTCCATTTAGCTGCTTCAGTTTTAGGGTCCCTACTGTGCTTGCCGGCTCACCGTCGCATTGGCTTGGCTTACTGGACCACTCGAATAAAACATTGTTAATGTGAAAAGGCCCTACTCTAGAGGCTTCTCTGCAGCATCTGCTCGAGCACAGCTGATGGAATCCAAAGTTTTTCTCAAAATCGAAACGGACAGAAACGCAAGTACTAACACACACACCCACGCAGATGATGAATACAGACATTTTGTGTGCGTAGACAGTTTTACACACTTTCTTCACACACACACACACACACACACACACACACACACACACACACACACACACACACACATATACTACAATACTCTTCATCTATTACATCTGGTTTGGATGGAGCCAGACCATGTGAGTGCGGGGGCGTATTGGCAGACAGAAGGTGTTGGTAGGCAAATACACGGCGAGAGAGAGAGAGAGAGAGAGACAGGCAGGGAGAAACAGGGGGAAAATAAAAGCGGAGAGAGACACAAAAAAAAGGCAGATGAACAGACGGAACGAAGTGAGCACGTGTCTGAGAAGTGGATGACGCAGCAAGAATAGGAGACGGAGGAGAAATCCCCGAACAAGTGAGCCAGCTGAGGGGGCCGCCGCTGGACGGACAGACAGAGAGAAATGGATGGATGGACAGCAGAGGGACATGTGTGGATGTCATCCAGCCATCAGTCACGCAGAGAGAGAAAGACAGAGAGAGCGAGGGAGAGAGAGAGAGAGAGAGAGAGAGAGAGAGGAGGGGGTGAGAGCTCCAGGGAGGCCTTGGGGTGGGGGCTTGAAGCCTAATCCCAAAAACAGCTGTGTGTCGTGGGGAGGGTGGGAGAGGTTGGGGGGGCGGTGGTGGTGGTTCTTGGGAGACGGGTGCTCTCTCATGGCTCATCACATCCTCTGACCCCCGCAACGTCACACAGCTTCTCCTTGGGCCTCAGTCGCTGCTCCTCGTGGCCCCTCTCCCTCGCTGTACAGTGGCTCCCCCAACAAGGCCTCATGTTTGAGCCGCTCCCATGGACCCCCTGCACCCGTACACGAGTCCCCGCTTCCACGAAGGAGCCGTAAATCACTCGCAGATACTGTTGATCGGTGGAGCGATACATGATACAGTCTGAGCTGCCCTCGGCTCCGTTCACAGGATCTCTTCGTGGAGATAATTAAAGTTGCAGCAGGAAAACTGTGGAGGAAATAGCATGAATTTCCAAGTACAGAACACAAATCTCCTTCCTGAATCTTCTGCTGTGGAGAAACAACTTTTCTTTTTTTATTTTAACTATATGCAGGTTTATTCCAGCCCCCAGTAATCTTTTTTTTCCCATGTCATCTCTGCTGTGAACACATTACTTTAGTGGATTTAGCTTAGCACGGATATAGTCAAACTAGTTCAACTAGTCATAAATTATAAGAGGCAGTGCTGTATTATATTAGTAAACACAGTTAGTTATACTGGAATCACTTAAAATCATCAGTTTAAATCAATATGAAATAAATGTTATTGTTTAATTTATTGATATAATGCATGAACAGTGACATTTAGTTTGATAACTATAACCCGTTTATATATACTATACTATATTTAGCATATAAATTGGCTGATGTGTCAGTAATAGGTCAAATATAAATATACTAAACTAAAACAGCACTATTCCATTAGCAACAACATTGTTAATAACTTTTTTAAATATTTGAATATCTTGTGTCATTGTATATTTGCATCCAGTGATAATGAGCATCAGCCTGCATATCACAGTCTGTTATTTATTTACTTGAATAAGGAAAGAAATCCAAGAAACACTGATCGCTACTGATCGGCTTGTATTTGAATATTAATAACAGTGACTTCAAACTATAAAGCATGTATCGCTATTTCTCTTCCTCTTCCTCCAGTCTGTTTGCAGGCAGCATTCCGAGGGTGACCTTCATCAGCGTGGGTGGTTTCATCTTCCTGGGAGCCTACGAGAAGGTCCGCCGCACTCTGCTATAGCAGCACATCCTCAGCGACCGTCCTGAGCCCTGACCTGGTGGAGGAACCGCGGGGAAGCAGCACCCCCGCCTGCACCTCCATGCTGCCGGGCCCATGAGAAGCAAGGAACACCTGGTGCTCGGGTGGGAAGAGCCATCCGTGCACCCTGATCGCATTACCCAGGGTGCTGCATTCCTGCTCATCAGTGCCCCGCGGGTTGAGTTTAACAGCCCGAGCTCGCGCTTGCGTAACGGCACCAGCGGTTTGGTGAAATGACCGCGTCACACCAGACTTGCAATGAAGCATTTTTACTGTTCAATGTGTACTGTGCGTGGATCAATAAGTTATGGTATTAAAGGCCGTCTCTTTTTATACTCTGAGTGAGGTTTTGGTGATTCATTTGGTTCTCTGCAGACTCCCTCTGCACGGCTTCATGATCACTTTAGTGTTTTATCAATAGTCCTCTCTCTGCTAAGCCAGGCCACCTGTGTGAAAGAGCCACCGGGGAGAGAGACAGTAATATCTCACCATTGTTACTTTCCCACTGAAGCACAACTGAGCTCATCCACCTGCGAGAGCTTTATTTTCTATCTTCAACAATAGAACACTTTGTTAAGTTAACAAGGCTTTAGGTTTATTAGGAACCTCAGGTGTCACATTTTGGGGGTTTATCTTTGTTTATTGTGAAATATTTATTAGGTTAACTGGAAAATGGAATCTATTGTTTTTTCATACTTTCTAATTGTGTTTCATTCTTTGACAACAACAAAATCCTCATTTGTCGTACGTATGATTTACGTTCTGAAGTTGACTTTGTTTGTATTTGGAGTTTATGTCAGTCTGTAAGGAGTAATTCCTTCATCTCAGAGCTGTGAAAGTGCAGGCCTATTCAAAGTTACAACCATTTGTTAATTGCATCAATAGAGCATGGTGTTACATAATAAGCTGTAGTTAGGAGAGAAACTCCATCCATTCTTCCCTCAAATGAAGATACTTGTTATTACAATTGGGTTGTCACTGAAAACAGTTCTGTGTGGCTAAAAATGAAGTTAAAACAATAGTTTGACGCTTTGGGAAATATGTTTGTTTGCTTACTAGTTAGATAAAAAACATCTCTTGTGTCTGTACGCTAAATATGTAGCTACATTCAGCGTATACTTAGTTTAGCTTAGCATAAAGACTGAAAAAACAGAGAGAAACAGCTAGCTGAGCTCTGTCCAACACTTCAGAGGCGGGTCGGCAGATTTTATTTGGTGTTGTTTTAGGTGTGGTTATGACCACCAGGGTGCCAAGGTGGTCTTACTGTTATGGCTGATCTGTGTGTATATCACACAGTGGTCTTCTAATCTCAATCTAAGATAGAAAGTTTATTTCCCAAAATGTAAGTCCTTTAAGAAAAGTGTTACCATTTAAAAGCACTGCTACTAGATAGACTACAAGATACATTTAACCAGAAGTTTGTTATGCAACCTGGAAAAACCAAAACAATTTGATGGAGAGTTGTCATAATAGAATCAATAAAATGTACTTTCATTGTAGAATAAGTAGTATAGGTTGCATGCATTTTTGATGGATTTAAATTGTAGACAGATTACTTACTGGGAACTGCGCATATAAAAGAAGTGTGCAGGAGGAGGGAATAGCATATTGTGTCTAGCCGTGCAGATGGTTTCAGTTTTATTTGCCAAGTTTTTGAGATATCAGCAGCTGAGGCCTAAAACCAAAAACGTCTAGATGAAGTCGGGCTGAATGGGGGAAAATATGGTTTTGTTGTGATTTGTCTTAACTGACCATTTAATTATCAGTAGTTCTGTAAAAACAAATCTGATTGATAAGTTTATAGGTCTGCAAAGATTGGAATTAAATCCATTATGATCAGAATCAGTGGATTTCTCAGAAGTTCATTTAATGGTTAATATGTTTTAAGATACAACGTGCTCTGTTTGCAGTAAAAAGATATTGCTTTGTACGAGTACTGATGCTTTCCACATGCTTGTTTCTTTAAAATTAGAGCACACAGTTATCCAAGAGAACTTATTACAAGAGGGAGACGGATGGCCTCACAGGTGGGAGTGTTTGTCATGTCGGTTGTCACTAGGCTGTTGGACAACAATGGTCGGCGTGTGATTGGTGGAGGCCACGGCTGGGAGCACGTCAATCATCCGGTGACAAACGTCCATCTGGAATGCACATTCTGACCCTCAGTCAGCCCTGACTCCGTTGCAAATATTTTAAACAGAACGCAGAAGGAAAAAATATGCCTGCTGTCTTTGGAGCTTCAGGGAGCCAGGACACATTCCTGTTTGGAAGATTAGAGCTCTCTCTCTCTCTCTCTCTCTCTCTCTCTCTCTCTCTCTCTCTCTCTCTCTCTCTCTCTCTCTCTCTCTCTCTCTCTCTCTCTCTCTCTCTCTCTCTCTCTCTCTCTCTCTCTCTCTCTCTCTCTCTCTCTCTCTCTCTGTGTGTGTGTGTGTAAGCTACTTCACTGCTTTGAAGATCAAGGTCTCTGGGTTTCATGTCTTTGTGCATGCTCCATTTGAATTGATGGCTTCTCCATAACCACTGTGACATGTGAGCGGCACTAAATGCTAACTCAGCTGTTTGTGATTCTGTTGTCACTGAAACATCCTCCCTGTTCTGTGTATGCAGGCAGGAAAACAGCACAAAACACTGGCAATAATAGCAAAATGGGATTTTATTAGACACTTCAATGCCATGTTAGACACTTCACTGTTTCAGCTTTGACATTGATACAACTGTTTCAGACAGTTTGTTTCAATAAATTACTCAGAACATGAACTGCACCTCCCTCCGCCCCTCCCCCCTTGTCCCTTTTACCTGCTTCACTGGGATTGGTTTTCCAACAGGGATCTCTGATTGGTCTTGCTGGTAAAATCATCTCTGATAGGTGTTATCAGGAGTAACCAGAGGAGTGTGTCCTCCAGTTTACCTTGATAAGGCCACTAACAGAACACAGTTCAGACAAAGGTACGTTGGCGAGACGCATACATACATTAGACAATGTAACCGCTGCTTTGCCCGATTTCTGAGCCAGTGTATCCAGGAACTGCGACAGTCCTGACTGCATTAACCCTCCATGTTTGGTTAGAGCACATTTCACCAGCTTCCCGACTGTTCACAGCAAGACACTGCACCTTTATGAATCGTAATGCAGGGAACATTATTCAGCTTTAGTGATGATGAGTTACGGTTGCGCTGTGGTGGTGTGACGGAGGCAGATTACTGGCCGTTTGCCTGTGAATGCACAACGGTGGATGTTCAGGCACATTACAGCAGTAACACAATGACACAACACATCGTTCTCCCTGATTCTCTGTCTTAAATTTATAGCATAAAAATGGTGTAATGAAGCATTCAGCCAATTAAATGTCATGTGCACGTAGCTGTGCATGATGAATGTGACCCAGAACACGTGAGGTGACCATGTTCATTTATCATTATTGGCTTTTTGCAGTTTATAGAGCAGCTGTTTGCCTACGTTTGACCGCATTTGGTTGCGAACTTGTGCCAAACTTTCACTTTCTTGGACAAATAAAGAAACTAATCAGAGTACAGAGAAGAATATTCTCTCCCAACAAGGTCGGAGCAGCTTTGCAGTAACCTGAAGTGTTGTGAAACAGGTGGAAGAGCCTTAATGGTACAGTTTGTATCGACTTTACTGTGTCAAAAGAAGTGGAATGGCTCCTTCACACGGAGGAGGTTCCTGCATTCCTATTGGCAGATATCTCTTTGTGAAGTGAATATAAAAAGTGCTTTAACCGCCCCACGCCCACACAAGTACCCCAGCTCGAACCATCTGATGTACCAAAATAATTTACCTCAAAGCTCTTCCTTCATACAATAACAATGAATGTGAACTGTGTTTCTGTAAGGCCATGGTTGGCAGCGTTTGTCAGAAAAAACATTCAAGTGCAATCAAGTGTTTGTTTTGTTTGCTATAAAGAGTGTACCGGTATCTCTCACAAAAAGTCTCTCGATATATGCTATTACAAGTTGAGTTTTCTTTGATCATGCAATAAGGCACCGCAGCTGAATGTTGGTAAAAGCTGAAAAAGGCTGAAAAATAAAAATAAAAATACCATCACTCCTTTCTTTGTCATGCACATAAATTCAAATACTCTTTTGTAAAAGTTATATAATATATAATATAAGAAAACTCTTATGTACAGTCAAATGTCCAAAGGTATATTTCTCTTTTTTCCCCCTGCACATACATATACTGTACAAGATTCCCTACATTTACATGCTTCAAATGCAAGTCACATTTTTTGGAGCTAGAATTTCTTATTGGTCACCTCCCAAAAGAAGGTTTTTAACTATGTACAGCTGATACGCTCAGATGGGACGCCACCCACACAAGCTCCGCCTTCACACTCCGGATGCCCCCTGCCTTTTCCCCCCCTCCTGGTGCTCCGTTTCAGTCCAGATCCAGGAGGCTCAGGATCAATCGCCTCGATATGAGGTAGGAGTTTATTTCCCAGTGCAATTAAAAAATATAGAAGTCCACTCCACTACTGCAAGTCCACGTTTTGGGCTGGATGGAGCGCCTGCTAGTCGCTGGCTCTCCTTAGGGGGGCGCTCTCATTCTGAGAGGCTCTGAGGGTGTGTCCGTTGGACAGCAGAGTCTGCCTGAGCTCAGGCTCACAGTCACTGTCGAGGCCCGTCATGCCCAGCTTCACCGGCTTGTGGAAGAAGACCTCCTCTGATGGAGCCGGCATTTGTCCCACTCTGCTCACTGAAGGAACAAAGAAGCAGAAGGAGAGACGGGTTAGAAATAGGTCAATGACATGTATGTAGACAAATATGCATTCAGCTTCGGGATACAGGCAGTGGAATGTATGCACAGGGCTGCGTTGACATGTGGAGGTGAGAACTGGTATTCGGAGGCCAATTCCTCCGGTATTACTCCTTGCTAAAGAAGCTGTATCCCAGAACGGGCCCAGACGTGCAGACTGCGGGAGTCTGGCAGCAGTAAGAACTCTGTGCTTCTTTACAGTGTTTCCACAGAGATATCCTGAGGGGCTTCTGGGCGTGCAACTATGACACACTGTCAAATGCTAGTAGGAGCCAATCCATCAGCAGTCACGTTCAAAGGAATTGGCCTTGACAGGGGTTCCTGAATTGCAGATAGTTTCTGGTGATATGAATGACATTCCTAGAGAAGCAGGGACAGTTCGGGGCTTAAACGGGTTTTGTCTATAGGGCTGTTGATATTTTGTAGCAGTTGTAGTGCAGGTCCTCAGGGCTGCATGCTTTATTTCAAGCGTTCAGAGTACATTTAAACACACTACACTCTCATCAGCGTACCTTTTCGATCGTGCTGTAACGTATTGTGGTTTTTTGGAAATCCTTGAATGTCCTT